TTTTGTCATTAAATATAAACCCATCATGTAATTGGAATAAACAAATATTAATCAGATGAAACTGAAAATAATCGATTAAGATGCAATTTATCGTATTTTTTTATTGACCAGGAAATACCTTATCCAACACCAATGTTTTTCATTAACTTTTGTCACTTCAGTACGCTATGATCGGAATATTTTACACTATTCCTGACAATAACCTTTCATTGCAAGTTTATTTAAGCAGTAATAATAATGATAATGATAATAATAATAATAATAATAATAATAATAATAAGCGAAAAGACTCCGAGAATCAGGGGTGGCCAAACTTTTATGCAAGTGGGCCATTTCTAGATATTTTTACCCTCTGACGGCCCATATAGTGTGTGTGTGTGTGTGTGTTCCTACTACGGGTGAATGAACTGTATTTGATTAGTAAATAGAACAGGTTCATAACTTTAAAGGTAATTTAACTCTATCTATAGAAAAACCTCATATTGTAATCATGATATATGTATAACTACAAATTTGTTAAAAAAACACACCTACTTGTACTTACACAAACTGATAACACAAACTTTAGGACTTGAGGGTTATTACTGTGAGAACTTCGTCAAAATCTGTTTTCATCGTTGAACAGGCAACACGCAGTGTACAGTACATGTATAGTGACGGCAAATATTGTAATCTTTCATCACTGCGACAGATTCTGAACTTATCAAACATACTGGTCTGGCTTCGAAACTCACAAAGAAGTATTTTTCACCCCGATCATTATTAAACTCACTGTATTCCCTATCAACCTTTCTCGTTTGTCTTCGTAATAGAAATGGACGGCGCCATAATTTGTCTTGAAATCAATATCAATGTTATAATAATGTAACAACTGATACACATGGATACCTGACGCACGACAGTGTGCAGTGGCAGAATCGGGGCCGGTTGGTGAGTGCAGAGTGTACGCGCACAGCACATAACATGGTTGGGATTGGTACTCCTTTCAATAGAACATGTACTCAATACGAACTACAGGTTATTTTACTATTAACCCTTTCACCGCGTGTCAAGCACTTGCCATTTTATTCTGGCTACCGCAAGACGATTTTATTCAGCTTAGGGTAACCTTCCGCTGTAAAAGGGTAAATAACAGTTTGTTTAAAAAACTGAAGTAAAAGTAAAAATTGGTTTGTATTACTCTTTTTTATCAAATAAAATGCACATCACTTAAATTACATTTACTCAAGGCCCACACTGATATAATAATAATACCAAGTACTCGTGGGCCAGAGGAAATTGTTACCTGACCTACACAGCTTTTATGACAATCTCGTTATCTGTAAATAAATACACAAATAACTTAACTAAATACATAAAAAATACACAAACTAATTGCTTCAATCATCAGGTTTTAGGTTTTCTTAAACAGTAATCTCCACCTAACACTAACCTCACCTCCCCGAACAGTGTTAGGGAGTTAATCTTTAGGTGGAATAATCTGGGCTGGAGATTCTTCAGGTGACCCCAAAGACATACAGCACAAGGCTTAACGTCTTTCCCTCAGCTTAGAGCATCACGGCTTCACACTGCTCCATGTCCTTCAACCATAGCCGGATATCGTTAAGTCGCGACGGCCGGATATTGTTGAGTCGCGACGGCAGGATATCGTTGAGTCGAGATGGCCGGATATAACTCTGGCGCGACGACCGGATATAGTTATGGCGCAATGACCGGATATAGTGAAGGTGCGATGACCGGATATCCGGATACAGCTACGACGCGACGGCCGGATATAGTAAGGCTCGACGACCGGATGTGTTAAAGGTGCGACACCATCTTTGACAGTTTATTTTATTTTTTTTATTAAAACGGATAAAATAGTTGTGTAAGAGAAGTGACACAGACTGATATTGCTCTGCTATTTCCCCCGTTAAACCTAACATAGATAGATAGATAGACAGAGAGACAGATAGATAGATAGATAGATATTCGGTAAAGATCGTAATACATTGGATCAGGTTATATAATTATTTCCATTGGGTTCGTGAACTAAGTTAGGATGTTGCAAGGTTAAGGGTAAATTGGGTGTCCTCATATCGTCTCTGTTATGATATAGTACGTGATCCTCTACACGAGAAGTTGCTCAGGTTACGATATCGCATTGTCGTCGTCAACCCAATGCAGTAAAAATAAGAGGTTACTTAATATTCTTTCCGCTATTTTTCACATTACATGTTATATAGCGACCCAAGACAAATAATAATCTCATTACAACAAATCTCACATTTTCAGAACATATAATCACCCCGTTACAAACTCTGCTGCCCCACTATGACTTCTTTCAGTATTCCCTTCAAACCCAGACTGTCCAGTTTTCTATGGTCTAGTTCAGAATCGTTTTCTTTAATAACCTTCTCCTGGTTTGCGTGAGGTACAGGGGCTGGCGCAGTACACCACACGTAGTTACCATTACCTGGGATTATTTAATTAACATTTATGTAATGCAATTCTGATCCTTTTAATTTGGCAGTAATTGGCGGGTTGGAGTACTCAAGCTCTTTATACGACTCATTTATGAGTGATAATCATTAGTGGTAAAGATTTCACGAGTCTTGAATTACTCGTCTTTGACATGAAGGCATAACAGTGCTGAAGTATAGTCAAAATTATATATATATATATATTTGTGTGAATTATTTTGTCTCAATATAATCTAATCATTTTAGTGCGAGAATTATAAAAAGTACTCTTGATAACATAATCTCCAGAACATTTTTAACTTGATACATGTCATCGCTACAGACGAAGAGAAGAGATAAAACACTACCTTGTACCCTAACAAACGACACCTCAACTAACACACACAATGTATAAAAGGTAAATAACTAACTTGGTAAACTCTCATGACTTACCTGTCTGCTGAAGACCACATAATAACATACGGTAGCTTGGAGTAACAAAACCCCACCTCCCTGAACCTACCGTACCATTATCCATGTCTCAGAGAACAATGAAATGGTGGGATTTTGTCCATAGTATTCTTTTGTTGGTGGAATTTTGTCTGGTGGGATTTTGCTTGGTTTATGTATCGTCAGGGTGTGTTCTGCTTGCGACACACACACACACACACACACACCTATGCCTCCTAAATCATAAATGTAGATTATGAAAAAAAAAAAACACGGCTGAAGTAAAAGGAAAAATCACCTTCAGAGACTAAGTTCTCCTGAAGAAGAACTAGACCAGTCATCCCTCAAACTTCCGTAAGATAGATCCGTTTTTTATCAATTTCTTCTTCGTTTTCTCTCCACTCCCCCAACACACACACACACATTTCCTGACACAAACTTTAGGACATAATAGTACCTGAAACAAGAAAATTATACCAGAATTCAAACTAATAATCACAAACAATCTTTCAAAACACTTCACAAGCATCACTCACGGCAGGAACACGGTAATAATGGCGTGCAAGCGTTGATATAACGTTTCTGGGATTAAAAAGACAAAATCATGCGGCAGCCGATATTTTAAGCAGAAGCACAACAGCTAGAGAGGAACACTGGAGATAAAATATATAAAACAAATGAATAAAAATTAAAATTGTAGGTTTGATGATGTTGTCTGTTTCCTCGAGACAATTTTCTTACATAAACAAGAATCTATATATGATATTTCAGGGATGTTGTTCACCTCGGAAGTATAACTGTGACCCGAGTGCTTATAGTATATAATGTATACTGTGTATATATCTTGGACTCGTGTTCTGTACTTAGGACAGACATACTCGAGTTTGGTCTTAGGGTGTTGATTCTGCCGTTATAAAATTGGTCACAAATAAATAAATATGACGGAAGGCATGCGGGAGAGACAGCCCCAGTAAAGACATAGCCATAGTAACAAGAGGAATACACTGTGATGAAAAAGAAATAAAAATCGATGCATATTTGAAAAGCAAAAGTTTATTAACACAATTCAAAGTTGAAATAATTATCGCACAGTAAGGAAGCAAGACTCAATGCGGTGAGAAAATAAAATATCAAAGTAGCTTAAAATATATATTTTATTTTAAAGTAAACAATTCAGTAGCAGATAACATAAAATAATACATAGCAAAAATAATGTGCAGGCAAAAAATGAAGGCACTGTAGAGTATGGTCAGTGAGTAGAGTTTATTTGTCACGCCCAACAAGTACAGTGTTCATGCTTTACAAAAAAAACTTAAGTGTTACAAGAATGCATAAAGTAATAGCTGATAAACACATAATGCGAAATATAAATAGCTTCTTCCCCGAGTTGCTTACGGGAAATAACACGAGTTTTGTCTAAGCCGTCGCAGACTGAAACGTTCCGAACAAAGGCAGCAGTGAAAACGGCTCTTATTTCCCTAACAAAAGTAGACAGTTATTGGACATAAATAACACTTAAACAAAAAAACAAAAACAGCGTTCACAGCCATAACGTAAACATCATACACCAAGTGCGAGGACAGCATTAAACAAGGCTATAAATAATAAAACACATACACAAACAATACAGTGAACATCAAGAGCTTTATTGAAGAATATAACAATTCATTGAAAATTTTAATTAAAAGACCAAACAAAAAATAAATATAAAAATTGGATTACAAGTCATACAAATGCAACAACATTACAGGACAAAAATATATATAATGAGAAAATTAAACAAAAAAGTAATATAAATGTATGAACAACTTTATAGAGATAATATTATAAATCATAAGTCAAGGTTACGCACTACAACAATTAACGCCCGTAACAGTTCGTTCACACACACACACACACACACACACGAGACAAGGAAAACTTTAGATCATTGTTGAACTCGTGTAAACCGTCGAGCAAATAAGTGGGATTTGGATGCCTGACAGAGTAGTTTCCCCTTGTTGGAGGTCAAGCAGCACCCCCCCCGCTGGAGTATTACCCCATAACAACCTGACACTCCCTAGCGGGGGTGTCTCAGCCATGCCAACAGGTGAAGGGCCTCTAGTTTACCTGCTCTAGAAGGCGAATCTTCCGGCGACGTGTCTGTTCCTCCAGCCTGTCGACGGCGTCTCTCAGCTCCTCTATCTCCTCCTTGGCCGCCTGCAGGGTGTCGATCTCGTGCTTGATGGCCACCATGTCCCGCTTCACCTCGACCACCTCGCTCTGGCAGCTCTCCACGCTCTTCGTTAGCTCCTGTAGCTGCGACCTGACCAACGGGAACAGCACAGATCACGAGGTTAACCAAGCCCTTCCACCCAGCAAACTACTATTATTATTATTATTATTATTATTATTATTATTATTATTATTATTATTGAGGTATTTCATTATCACTATACGACACACTACCATTATTTTTTCTTCCACCATGTGAGCACTGTTACCTTATGTCATTATTATCATTAGTACTAATACATATTGTGTGCGGTGGGTGGGAGGGGGAGGGGGAGAGTGTAGGTCAAGGTGGACAGGTCAGCAGGAGGACCAGTTGACTTGTCTCCCTTGACCCCGTCTTCTGGTGATCTGTACCCGACCTCTCTGCCTCAGGAGAGACCGGGTGGGTTGGGTTGGGGCATAACACAGGTCAGCAGGAGGACACACCTGATGGCGTGGAGGGCGGCGCTGGTGTCGGCGTGCTGGTGACACTGGATCTCATCGATCTTGGCGCTCAGGTTCATGCTCATGATCGACACTTGCTTCTGCAAGCTGCCAAAAGGCGCGTTACTGAGGGTGGGCCATGGGTGGCCGTCTTGGCGGTGGTGGTCGGGGGCCCTCCACCGCTCGCACCCTACACTACACTCACTCATACTGTCACGCTGCCTCTTCAAGCTACAGCTAAAAAACAAGATAAAGTAAGACATTGAAATCCATTCCATCGCTGCCGGTTGTGGGATAAGCGTGTCCTGTCGCAGCTGTGGCGTGACCAGTGAGGGAGGAGGCCGAGTGTTGCCCCCCTGGCCCGCCCACACCACCCCCTGGCCCACCCACACCACCCCCTCTGGCCCGGCCCCACACGTCCACTACACTCTCGGCCCACCCATCATCACCGACCCTCACACACACTCCTCACAAGCCTACCAACCATACCTGTTCCTTGATGGAGGTTCTCACGTAACACCTGGAGTGGGGCAGGCAGGCAGGGTCAGTGCGGGGCCGAGGGGCAAGGGAGTGGGGTCATTCTATGCTTTGGGGGGTGGGGCGGTATTCCTAAGTGGGATGGGGTGGTGGGTAGCAGCAGTTATAGAAGGGGAGGGGCGGGGGAAATAGTCTTTAGTAGTGGGTGTAACAGGGGGAGATAGTCTAGTGTAGTGGGTGTAACAGGGGGGAGATAGTCTAGTGTAGTGGTGTAACAGGGGGGATAGTCTTTATGTAGTGGGTGTAACAAGGAGATAGTCAGTGTAACAGGGAGATAGTCTAGTGTAGTGGGTGTAACAGGGGATAGTCTAGTGTAGTGGGTGTAACAGGGGGGAGTAGTCTAGGTGTAGCGGGTGTAACAGGGTGAAGCCATGTAGTGGGCACTAGTCTTTAGTAGTGGGTAACAGGGGATAGTCCAGTAGTGGGTGCAACAGGAGATAAGGGGAATATAGTGTGTGGGTGTAACAGGGGGATAGTCTGGTGGGTGTAACAGGGGATAGTCTTTAGTGGGGTAACAGGGGGATAGTCGGTAACAGGGATAGTAGTAGTGGGTGTAACAGGGGAGATAGTCTAGGTGTAGTGGGTGTAACAGGGGGAGATAGTCTAGTGTAGTGGGGCAACAGGGAGATAGAGTGTAGTGGGTGTAACAGGAATAGTCTAGTATTGTGGGTGTAAAAGGGGAGATAGTCTGTGTAGTGGGTGTAACAGGGGAGATAGTCTAGTGGGGTGACAAAGATAGTCTAGTGTAGTGGGTGTAACAGGGAGATAGCAGGGGTGTAACAGGGGAGATAGTGTGAGTGGGTAACAGGGGAGATAGTCCAGTGTAGTGGGTGTAAAAGGGAGATAGGTGTAAACAGGGGGAGAGTGTAGTGGGTGTAACAGGGGAGATAGTCTAGTGTAGTGGGTGTAACAGGGGAGAGTCTGTGTGAGGGGTGTAACAGGGGAGATATAGTCAGTGTAGTGGGTGTAACAGGAGATAGTCCAGTGTGTAACAGGGAGATAGTCTAGTGTAGTGGGTGTAACAGGGGGGATAACAGGGGAGTGCATGGGGAGATGGTCAGTGTAGTGGGTGTGCAAGGGGAGATAGTCTAGTGCAGTGGGTGGGGGATAGTCTGGCAGTGGGTGTAACAGGGGAGATAGTCAGGTAGTGGGTGTAACAGGGGAGATAGTCTAGCAGTAGTGGGTGTAACAGGGGAGATAGTCTATGTAGTGGGTGTAACAGGGGGGATAGTCTTAGTAGTGTGGGTGTAACGGGGAGATAGTCTAGTAGTGGGTGTAACAGGGGAGATAGGTGTAGTGGGTGTAACAGGGAGATAGTAGTGGGTGTAACAGGGGAGATATAGTCTAGTGTAGTGGTGTAACAGGGGGGGATAGTCAGTAGTGGGTAACAGGGAGATAGTCTAGTGTAGTGGGTGTAACAGGGGAGATAGTCTAGTGTAGTGGGTGTAACAGGGGAGATAGCTAGTGTAGTGGGTGTAAGAGTGGAAGTAGTTCTAGCTTGATGGAAGTAATATAAGAGTGGGTGGGGGGGAGGCAGGGAAGCCAGCACCTAGAGTGGGTGGAGAGGTAGGTGGAGCAGCCCCAGAGTGGGTGGAGAAGTAGGTGGAGACAGCCCAGAGTGGGTGGAGAGGAGGTGGAGACAGCCCACAGTGGGTGGGACGATGGATGGAGACAGCCCCTAGAGTGGAGGGGACAGTGGGTGGAGACAGCCCCAGAGCGGGTGGACGGTGGGTGGAGACAGCACTTGAGTGGGTGGGACGGTGGGTGGAGACAGTCCTAGAGTGGAGGGGACGGTGGGTGGAGACAGCACTAGAGTGAGTGGGACGGTGGGTGGAAGCAGAGTGGGCGGGGGCAGGCGGTGCAGGAAGAGGGGGAGAGACTCCCACAAGACGCATGCGACCAAAGGATGATCTGTGACCGTCAACACTCGAGTATGAGGCAGACACGTGCTGGGCCCAACACACACCCTGGCCTCTACGTCTTTTACGTTTGGAGGTGGTGCCATGACCTGTGTGGGCGAGTAGGACCTGTGTGGGCAGGTACACACAGGTTAAGAGTACGCCTGAGTAATGCTATCAGGAGTGGCTGGAAGGTTAAAGGTCCCAGGTGGATATGGGTGCCAGATAAGCGGGTGCTAAGTGGATATGGAAATGAGGTGGATCAGGATGCATTTATGGATATGGGTGCCAGGTACACAAAGGTGTAAGGTGGACATAGGCGTTAATTGGAAGTGGGAGCGTGGTGGATAAGGGTGCCAGGTAGACATGGGTGAAAGATAGATATAGGTGCCATATAGACATGGGTGCCGCGCGAGCATGGGGAGTAAAGTGAGGTGTGGGAGAAGAGGGATGGAGATGGCGAGGGTGACGCGGATGAAAACAAGACAGAAACGAAACAGGTGTCGAGGGGGAGACGAGAACACCAGTGTGAAGAGGACGTGAGTGTCGAGGGGCATGAGAGGAATATGGCTGTCGAAATGGACGCAGTTGTAGGAGGGGTCATGCAAGGGGTAGGGGCGTGGCGATGGAATGGGATGTGGGTATCCAAGGTATCATGGGTGTTCGACTTGACGTGGGTATATTCAGGTGATGGGTATGGCGAGTGTGGGGGGGTCGCAGACACAAGTGACGACAGATAACTACCGGCGGAGGGAAGGTGTGGACTAATACCGCCTCACTACTGCTGTCCTCAGGGAGTCATTTTAACACATTAGTAAGTTTGGTCAAGTGAAACAATCTGGGTAACCGGCGAGGCCTTGTGGGCGGACCAACAAGAACAGGGGCTGCTGGTGAGTGGACCATGAGGGTGGAGGTGAGGGTGGAGGTGAGTGGGCCTGATGAGTGAGGCTGGGAGCCAGCCAGTGGGCGGGGATGGGTGGGACGGTACAGGGTGACGGTGTGGAGGCTGCCGCCCGACCCTGGACGTCCTCCTGGTTATCGACTGTGGAAACCACACTGTTACCGCCTTAAAGACGGGTGGTCGAGGCAGCCAGAGGTGTTTCTGGAGGGTGGGCCGCCCCGCGCCGGGCAACACCACCCAGCACCGTCACCACCTGTACCACTGCGGCCGCCACACTCCACCAGCATCACCGACCAGCAAGTATACACAACTTGCACAGCCGCTGACACTGGAGCAGCGCTTTTAGTGTCGCAGTTAAACGCAACCCAGCGGCCTCCCTCAAGCCAGGAATCAAAGACACGTCTCACAACACATTATATTGTTCCTTATTGTTTACACGGTAAGGGGCAAGTAACACAGCTGAGGGCTTTACACATGATACATGAAACAGGGACATATGAACTACTACAACGCCCTCAGACACAAATTAAAGATCCGGAGGTATTGGGACCTCCAGGAGGTGCGGGCGTTAACCAATACGGGGACTCTTCAGTTCTGACAACAGAGGCGCCTGCTAATGTTTGTGGTGTTTTTCGGCCCTTCATCAGCTCTTCTAGTTGTTATTACAGTGGGCAGTTGTTGCAGTGGGGGAGGACATGATCAGTGGGTGGGAGGGCGGGGCCTACACCAGTGGGGTTGGGTGGGAGAGGAGCCAGGTGCTCGTCTCACAACACCTCCTCTCACCCAAATGACTCCCACCACTGGCCTCTGAAGGGGAAACTTGTGAGGGGAAGTACGTGACGGGGAGAGTGTGACTGGGACCAAGTGAACGGAGGACAGTCGGTCGGGTAGGGAGGTGAGTGACGGTAGCCATGTTTCAGGGTGCAGGTAACGCGTGATCTGGGGTGAGGAAGCTTGAACATAAAAAGTAAAAAGCGACAACCTCATCAGTACGAGCCTCTGCTGGTAACAGTGAAGGATCGTAAACATGACACAGGACTCTAAGACACACGGGGTACTGTAGGCTGGGGTTCTAGGGCACGATGGGATTTTTTAAAACACAGGGAACTCTAGGACATATGACAGGGTCCTAGGACACATGGTAGGGCTCGAGGACACATGGTAGGGCTCGAGGACACATGATAGTGCTCTGGGACATATGCTGGGGAAGGAGACACCCTATAACATACGGCGGGGCTCAAGACACATAGTGGAACTGTTGGACACATGGTGAGGCTTAACGAGACATGATAGGGAATCTAGGACACATGAGTGGGTCTTAAAACATATGGTGTGGTCTAAGGACATATTGTAGGGTCCTAGGATACACAGCGGGGCAATAAGACATGAGATAGAGCTCTAAGACACTTGGTGGACACTTCAGGACACATGGGAGGGTTTAGGACACGGAGTGGCTGCAAGATACAGGCCATTAGGTAGGGTAACTGAAGACATATTGTACCACTGTAAAACAAATATATACACAGGTATATATATATGTTACACGTAAAAATCACATGCATACAAAAGTTGTGTTGGAATAATTTAAGTGTTAATTATAAATTGTCAACTGGTTAGAATATAATGAAAAAAAAAACCACAACACATGTAAACAATAAATAAATTCTAATAACAAACAAACAAAACGTGAGGGTTGAGGGTAAACAACTTATCACTGCATGACAACATCACTACAGTATATGAATGTCTTTTAAATTATTACTGTAATTTATTATGAATCATTAAGCTCTTGAGGACGGGGCTTATATTAGTTACATCTCCTCGACAGTGTGGTCCCAGGACAACACAGGACCACACTGTCAACACCTCAACATGCTCAACTTAATAGTTATTTACTAGTTGGGGGGAAAAAAGGCGCTGAACTTATTATTGTTTATGCTCAACTTAATAGTTATTTACTAGTTGGGGGGAAAAAAGGCGCTGAACTTATTATTGTTTATGCTTTTATAACTTGGGGTGTTACATCAGACGTGTAGAGGGTGGGGTGAGTGTGGAGGGGGGTGGGGGTGAGTGTAGAGGGGTGGGGTGAGTGTGGGGGGTGGGGGGGTGTGAAGTGAGAGGGTGGGGTGAGGGTGAGTGTAGAGGGTGGGGTGAGTGTGAGTGGGGGGGTGGGTGTGGGGGTGAGGTAGAGGGGTGTGGGAAGTGGGGGGGTGTGGGGGTGGGGTGGGTGTGGGGGGTGGGGTGGTGGGGGTGGGGTGGGGTGTGGGGGGTGGGGGTGTGAGTGTTGGGGTTGTGGGTGTGGGGGGGTGGGGGTGAGGTGTGGGGGGGAGTGAGGTGAAGAGGTGGGGTGAATGTGGGGTGGGGTGTGGGGTGTGGGTGGGTGGGGGTGAGTGTGGGGTGGGGTGGGTAGGGGGGGGTGGTGGGGGTGAGTGGGGGGGGGATGGGGGGGGTGGGGGTGGGGGTGGAGGTGGGGGGGTGGGGTGAGTGTGGGGGGGTGGGGGTGGAGGTGGGGGGTGGGGGTGTGGGGGGGTGAGTGTGTGGGGTGGGGTGGTGTGGGGTTGGGGTGGGGTGGGTGGGGGGGTGGGGTGGGTGAGGGGGTGGGGGGTGGGTGTGGTGTAGAGGGGTGGGGGGGTGGGGGTGGGGTGAGTGTGGGGGGTGGGGTGAGGTGTGGGGGGGTGGGGTGGGGTGTGGGGTTGGGGTTGGTGTGGGGGGGGGGGGGTGGGGTGGGGGTGGTGGGGGGGGGGTTGGGTTGGTGTGGGGGGGGTTACGGGGGGGGTGGGGTGGGGTTGGGGGAGAGGATGGGGTGGGGTGGGGAGGGGTGGGGTGGGTGTGGGGAGGTGGGGGTGAGTGTGGGGGGTGGGGGAGTGTGGGGTGGGGTGGGTGGTGGTGGGGGGTGGAGTGTGGGGGTGGGGGGTGGTGTGAGTGTGGGGTGGGGGTGGGGGTGGGGTGGGGGGTGGGGTGGGGTGTGGGGGTGGGGTGGGGGAGGTGGGGGTGGGGTGTGGGGGTGGGGGGGTGGGTGAGTGTGGGGGTGGGGGTGAGGTGTGGGTGGGGGTGGAGTGTGGGGTGGGGTGAGGTGTGGGGTGGGTGGGGGTGGGGTGTGTGGGTGTGTGGGGTGGTGGGGTGGGGTGTGGGGGTGGGGGGGGTTGGGGTGGGGTGGTGGGGGTGGGGTTGGGTGTGGGGGTGGGGTTGGTGTGGATGGTGGGGTTGGGGTGTGGGGGGTTGGGGTTGGTGTGGGGAGGTGGGGGGGGTTGGGCGTGTGGGGGTGGGGGTGGGGGTGTGGGGTGGGGGAGTGTAGAGGGGGTGGGGGTGAGTGTATAGGGGGTGGGAGTGAATGTAGAGGGCAACTGTGGTGTAGAAAGGGGAGCATATGGTGTGGATAGTGTAGGAGGCTGTGGATGGATGTGGAAGGCTGTGGATGACGAGTTTATCATAAAAAATAAATAATAACTTAGAAAAACAAAAGAAAGCTTCTCGCAAAAGAAAAAAAATGATAGAAAAAAAGAAATAAAATACGGAATATACTGTAGTTTACTGTAGTTAATAGATTATAAAGAGGTTATTTTTATTTATCTTTTTATATATTACAAGTTCAATTGCAAAATGAAGTGGTATTAAATTTTTTTTGTTAAGTTGTCGACAGTGCGTTCAGCCCTGCTGGGGGACGTCACAGAAAACGGACGCTCACCACAACAGGAAGATAGACTCAAGAATTTTTTTTCCCCTGAATGTTTCTGGAATATGTTAGGTTAAATGAATAGACAACGTGTGATGATTACTATATGCATTACTAAACAGGCTAGGTCATGTTGGGTCAGCCTGAACTACATTAGTAACTCATTCTTCTTCTCACAAAAAAACAAACAAGGAACTGAGGCCATTCTACACCCTGGACAGACTCGTGTAAAACCCAATACAAAAATTTCCCCCAGAAAATTAAGACTTCCGTGAAACATTCGGGAAGAAAAAATCGGAGGTCGGCCTATGGTCAGGGAAATAATACTTAGGCAAAAGGAGTTTAAGAAGGACAAGGATGTGTCAAAAAGGCAACGAAAATACAGGAGGTAGTGAATTGATAAGGGAAACTGGCAAACTTTCCGGACAAGCAAGTAGGGAAATACAGGAGATGTGAGGCGGGACGAGGAAAACTCAGGGTGAAAATGAGGAGACGGAAGGAAAGTGAAGATGAGAGATAGAAAAGGGGTTAAAATATTGAAGTACAGCAATGAATGAAAAAGGATGGAATGAGGGAAGTGAATGGAAGAGTTAGAAAAAGGGAGAGTAGATAAGTAAAAGGTGGAAAGGGGATAATGAATGAGTGAAGGAGGGAGGGAGAAAAGGGGAGTGAATAAGGGACGTAAGGAGGAGACAGGAGTGAGGAACAAAGCCAGCAGGTGATGGTGAGAAGCAGTTAACAAACACACGAGTGTGTCACACTGGTGAGACTCAGGCGTCACACTGGTGAGACTCAGGCGTCACACTGGTGAGACTCAGGCGTCATGAGAGATGGTGGGGAGTGCTCAGGACGTCACACTGGTGTCACAGCGTCACACGAGGTGGTGAGACCCAGGCGTCACACTGGTGAGACTCAGGCGTCACACTGGTGAGACTCAGGCGTCACACTGGTGAGACTCAGGCGTCACACTGGTGAGACTCAGGCGTCACACTGGTGAGACTCAGGCGTCACACTGGTGAGACTCAGGCGTCACACTGTAAGACTCAGGCGTCACACTGTAAGACTCAGGCGTCACACTGTAAGACTCAGGCGTCACACTGTAAGACTCAGGCGTCACTCTGTAAGACTCTACCCTCATACTGGTAACTCAGGCGTGTCTCCTCTGCCACACTCTTAAGGCTCACAGTGAGGAGGACTGAGCACAGCAACGGATGAGGTACATGAGGTACAGACAACACCATGATGAGGCATAAGTCACCACCATGAGGTACAGACAACACCATCATGAGGCATAAGTCACCACCATGAGGTACAGACAACACCATCATGAGGCATAAGTCACCACCATGAGGTACAGACAACACCATGAAGCATAAGTCACACCATGATCATGAGGCATAAGTCACCACCATGAGGAACAGACAACACCATGTGAGGCATAATCACCACCATGAGGTACAGACAACACCATCATGAGGCATAAGTCACCACCATGAGGTACAGACAACACCATGATGAGGCATAAGTCACCACCATGAGGTACAGACAACACCATGATGAGGCATAAGTCACCACCATGAGGTACAGACAACACCATGATGAGGCATAAGTCACCACATAAGTAAAAGGTACAGCATAAGGTACAGACAACACCATGATGAGGCATAAGTCACCACCATAAAAGGTACGAACAACACCATGATGAGACATAAGTCACCACCATGAGGTACAGACAACACCATGGTGTGGCATAAATCACCATCATGAGGTACAGACAACACCATGATGAGGCATAAGTCACCACCATGAGGTACAGACAACACCATGATGAGGCATAAGTCACCACCATGAGGTACAGACAACACCATGATGAGGCATAAGTCACCACCATAAGGTACAGACAACACCATGATGAGGCATAAGTCACCACCATAAGGTACAGACAACACCATGATGAGACATAAGTCACCACCATGAGGTACAGACAACACCATGGTGTGGCATAAATCACCATGATGAGGTACAGACAACACCATGATGAGGCATAAGTCACCACCATAAGGTACAGACAACACCATCATGAGGCATAAGTCACCACCATGAGGTACAGACAACACCATCATGAGGCATAAGTCACCACCATGAGGTACAGACAACACCATGAGGCATAAATCACCATTATGAGGCATAAGTCACCATCACGAGGTACAGATCTCAGTATGCCGAAGTGTGAACACCACAATGGTAGGACTCAAGTGCCATAATGGTGAGTCTATGGTGATGGTCACAATACATAACACGGTGAACGAGAGTTACAGTGGTGAGGCGTGAGCGTCAGCTTGATGAAGTCTCATAGTGTGGCGTCACCATGAGGCACGGCCAGTACCATGGTGAGGCACGGCCAGTACCATGGTGAGGCACGGCCAGTACTATGGTGAGGCACGGCCAGCACCATGGTGAGGCACGGCCAGTACCATGGTGAGGCACGGCCAGCACCATGGTGAGGCGAGACATCACCATGGGGAGGCACGGCCAGTACCAGGGTGAGGCACGGCCAGTACCATGGTGAGGCACGGCCAGTACTATGGTGAGGCGAGACATCACCATGGGGAGGCGAGGACATCACCATGGTGAGGCGAGGGCATCACCATGGCGAGGCGAAGACATCACCATGGTGAGGCGAGGACATCACCATGGCGAGTTGAGGACATCACCATGGTGAGGCGAGGACATCACCATGGCGAGGCGAGGACATCACCATGGCGAGGCGAGGACATCACCATGGCGAGGCGCGGTGGTGACTGCTAAGGTTGAGGCGTCAACAGGGTGAGGGAGGAGGAGGAAGAAGAACGTGGTGGTATATTTACCTAAAATCCAGCCCGTCGCACGAGTGCCTGGGACCGGGGGAGAGAGACAAGGGTTAGTGTGAGGCCCAGCTGCCGGACCGGCTCCACCGCCCACCTGGCTATCCCGCTCACACACCACCAGGCGTAGATGCTCCATCACGCACTGGTAAACTACCAGGGTTATCAGGGTAAATCAGGTACCAGTACACTACATGTAAGCCACCAGGTACCAGGGTATGTCCAGTATACCACCAGGTACTTGTAACACTCCCAGGTAGCAGCATACAGTCAGCAGCGAGCCAACAAAGTATAAGGTCTCCTCAAGTCACTCAACGATTTATAGATTCAGTTACAAATTTAGCACCTGTAAAGCTGTAGGCACAAAGCCTTTAAGAAGTACAACTATGGACAAATTTCTAGGACTTTGATTAAAGTCTGTGATGGAAGGTGTAGACCTAGGCTTTGGAACACTGGACGTTGAACAAAGTCTTGGGACACAGGCTGATGAACTAGGCCACAGGACGTGGTCTTTAGTGACACTGGGTAATGAGTTCATCCTCGGGACATGAACGTAATCTACTGGTCACGACAGTAGAGAAAATAAAAGTAAACAAAAGTAAACAATGCAAAAGTAGATATATATTGACAGTGTATTAATGCCACTGAAATATCCCAGTACCGGGGCTCGAACCATCCCAGTACCGGGGCTCGAACCGGCGGCTTAACAGTACTGGATTCGACCTCCGATACCGATGTATTTCACTCACTAATGTAAACATACAATAATGGCTTTGAGGACTTATTACAGGTGAAGTGATTAGTTCATTATGGATGGCCGTCCCAGGTACTGTCGTGACGAGGTGAACCACAGGTGCTGGGCTGGTTGCAGGGTGTGGCCTGGCACCTGGTGGCTGGGTGTAGCCTAGCACCTGGTGGCTGGGTGTAGCCTAGCACCTGGTGGCTGGGTGTAGCCAGAAGTACACACATCCCACGTCATGTGTGGATTTGTGTTGTGTGAGCAAGCAGCAGTGGTCAGTTTGACCAGGTCTCGTGTCACTATTGACCTGGCCATCTGGATTGGCCAGGTCTGGTGCTACTAGAGACCTAGCCACCTGGACCGGTCCGGTATTTGCCACAGATGACCTGGCCACTTGGACTGGCCAAGCCTTGTGACAGTGGAGACGTGGCCACGATGGCCCTGTGGCCGTCTTTGACAGTCGTGGCGGAGCTGCCTAGCTTGACCTACCTCATACAACCTTTTAAAGCCAATAAGTCCACACTGGAAGGTGATGACACGTTCATGACAACAGTATTCTGTACAGTGTGCTCAAGATAACAGCTGCACCTCTAGCTCAAGATAACAGCTGCACCTCTAGCTCAAGATAACAGCTGCACCTCTAGCTCAAGATAACAGCTGTACCTTTAGCTCAAGATAACAGCTGTACCTCAAGCTCAAGATAACAGCTGTACCTCAAGCTCAAGATAACAGCTGCACCTCTAGCTCAAGATTACAGCTGAGTTCAAGATAACAGCTGCACCTCTAGTTCAAGATAACAGCTGCACCTCTAGCTCAAGATAACAGCTGTACCTGCTCAGATAACAGCTGTACCTCAATAACAGCTGTACAAGCTCAAGATAACAGCTGCACCTCAAGTTCAGAGATAACAGCTGCAGTTCAAGCTCAAGATAACAGCAGCACCTCAAGATAACAAAGCTCAAGATAACAGCTGCACCTCAAGCTCAAGATAACAGCTGCACCTCAAGCTCAAGATAACAGCTGCACCTCAAGCTCAAGATAACAGCTGCACCTCAAGTTCAAGATAACAGCAGCACACCTCAAGCTCAAGATAACAGCCGCACCTCAAGCTCAAGATAACACCTCGCTCAAGATAAGAGCTGCGCCTCAATTCAAGATAACAGCTGCACTCAAGCTCAAGATAACAGCTGCACCTCGCTCAAGATAACAGCTGTACCTCGCTCAAGATAACAGCTGCACCTCAAGCTCAAGATAACAGCTGCACCTCAAGCTCAAGATAACAGCTGCACCTCGCTCAAGATACAGCTGTACCTCGCTTCAAGATAACAGCAGCACCTCAAGCGCAAGATAACAGCCGCACCTCAAGCTCAAGATAACAGCTAAAGTTCAAGATAACAGCAACAAAGTAACAGCTCCTCAAGCTCAAGATAACAGCTGCCTCAAGCTCTAACAGCTGCACCTCAAGCTCAAGATAACAGCCTCCAAGCTCAAGATAACAGCTGTGCTAAGATAACAGCTCAAGATAACAGCTGGCTCAAGATACACAGCTCAAGTTTGCACCAAGATCACAGCTGTACCTCAAGCTCAAGATAACAGCCGCACCTCAAGCTCAAGATAACAGCTGTACCTCAAGCTCAAGATAACAGCTGTACCTCAAGCTCAAGATAACAGCTGCACCTCAAGCTTAAGATAACAGCTGTACCTCAAGCTCAAGATAACAGTGGCAACTCAAGCTCAAGATAAGAGCAGCACCTCAGGTTCAAGATAACAGCTGCACCTCAAGCTCAAGATAACAGCTGTACCTCAAGCTCAAGATAACAGCTGCACCTCAAGCTCAAGATAACAGCTGCACCTCAAGCTCAAGATAACAGCTGCACCTCAAGCTGAAGATCACAGCTGTACCTCAAGCTCTAGATAACAGCTGCACCTCAAGCTCAAGATAACAGCAGCACCTCAAGCTTAAGATAATAGCAGCACCTTAAGCTCAAGATAACAGCTATGATCGCTAAACATGACAATCAGGCAGGAGTTAACGCGCTGGCGGCATCTGGCAACCCGTCCGTCACACTACCGTCACAAGGAGGATCAATTCATCGTCAGTCTCTAGTCAGTGGAGACAACGCCAGACCAGACGACCGTTCGCCCGCCTTTTGCTTATCTTAAACTGTCAGATGGGCGAGAAAACTGCCCAGATGTTGAGTATGGTCAGTGATTATGTGTTTAATGTTTCGTTATGTTTTCCTTGGTGCAGTGTTATGAGAGTGATGTTTACATGATATGTCGTAATATGACGTAATTCTTTAAATGTTTAGCAAATTAGTAAATGTTTATTGACGTGCAAACAAGTAGTGTATTTTATGAACTAATGTGCTGTTTACCATAATTCTGAAGTATAATGTTTACCATAATTCTGAAGTATAATGTTTACTATAATTCTGAAGTATAATGTTTACTATAATTCTAAAGTATAATGTTTACCATAATTCTGAAGTATAATGTTTACTATAATTCTGAAGTATAATGTTTACTATAATTCTAAAGTATAATGTTTACTATAATTCTAAAGTATAATGTTTACCATAATTCTGAAGTATAATGTTTACTATAATTCTGAAGTATAATGTTTACTATAATTCTAAAGTATAATGTTTACTATAATTCTGAAGTATAATGTTTACTATAATTCTGAAGTATAATGTTTACTATAATTCTAAAGTATAATGTTTACTATAATTCTAAAGTATAATGTTTACTATAATTCTAAAGTATAATGTTTACTATAATTCTGAAGTATAATGTTTACTATAATTCTAAAGTATAATGTTTACTATAATTCTGAAGTATAATGTTTACTATAATTCTAAAGTATAATGTTTACTATAATTCTGAAGTATAATGTTTACTATAATTCTAATGTTTACTATAATTCTGAAGTATAATGTTTACTATAATTCTGAAGTATAATGTTTCACTATAATTCTAAAGTATAATGTTTACTATAATTCTGAAGTATAATGTTACTATAATTCTAAAGTATAATGTTTACTATAATTCTGAAGTATAATGTTTACTATAATTCTAAAGTATAATGTTTACTATAATTCTGAAGTATAATGTTTACTATAATTCTAAAGTATAATGTTTACTATAATTCTGAAGTATAATGTTTACTATAATTCTGAAGTATAATGTTTACTATAATTCTGAAGTATAATGTTTACTATAATTCTATAATGAAGTATAATGTTTACTATAATTCTAAAGTATAATGTTTACTATAATTCTGAAGTATAATGTTTACTATAATTCTGAAGTATAATGTTTACTATAATTCTGAAGTATAATGTTTACTATAATTCTGAAGTATAATGTTACTATAATTCTAAAGTATAATGTTTACTATAATTCTAAAGTATAATGTTTACTATAATTCTGAAGTATAATGTTTACTATAATTCTAAAGTATAATGTACTATAATTCCATAATTCTAAAGTATAATGTTTACTATAATTCTGAAGTATAATGTTTACTATAATTCTGAAGTATAATGTTTATTATAATTCTGAAGTATAATGTTTACTATAATTCTGAAGTATAATGTTTACTATAATTCTAAAGTATAATGTTTACCATAATTCTAAAGTATAATGTTTACTATAATTCTGAAGTATAATGTTTACTATAATTCTGAAGTATAATGTTTATTATAATTCTGAAGTATAATGTTTACTATAATTCTGAAGTATAATGTTTACTATAATTTTGAAGTATAATGTTTATTGTATTACTTAAAAAAAAACAATTTGTGTTTATCGTATCAATTGAGAGTCGTAATTACTGTACTTTTGGTCAATGTTTTGTAATGACTGGACGGTGACCTGACGGTATCTAGGGAAGGTCGGTGGTACAGGGGCCAGCGCGTTACTACACCCTCACTACCAAAGTACATACAGTAGTCTATAATGGATGATCGGTGCTTGGGAGGTCGGGGACTACTTGTAGGTGTTTGGGGTATAATACTATAGGCCAGGGACTAACGCCGGTTATTCTTAAAACATTATTCCCATTAACAGACACTTCAATACTTTTCTTTATCATTTTTTTTTTTACAATTATGAGGCTCCGACATACCAACTGTTGCTACACTGCTCGGGGAGATACAGTGCTACCAACAGAGCATTTCAATTTTCCATTGCAATGAAGTGTCTATGCATAGCGGAGTAAAGACAAAAATCCTACGAATGGAAGGAATTGTTGCACGAAATAAGATTTTGAAGAATACCAGCGTAATGTTTGGGACCAGGAACTACTGTAGATGTTTGGGGCCAGGAACTACTTGGAGGTATTTAGGGTGAATAATTGAGGGCCATGGATAAGGTGTTTGTGGCCAGGAAGGAGGGAGGGAGGGAGGGAGAGAGGGGTCAACATACTGGGGGCGGGGTGACTAAGGGACGCCACCACCCCTCACTGGTCACAAACAGGGGGCGCGCGGCTCCCAAACTGACCCCAACTAACCTACTGTGAGGTATTTGGCCCCAAACTCTCCCCAATTAATAAACTCTAAGGTATCTGGTCCTAAATTGCTCCTACTGAGATATAAGGTCCCAAACTGTCGTCCTCCAAGTGACTTATGGAGAATTTAGTCCTGATCTGACCGAGGGTGAGGTCCAGTGTCCCTCTCCCGCACCTTAATGAGCTGTTTAGGGTCAGGGGTCCCAAGTAACCCCATACACTAGCTTGGGGTACTAAGTTACCCCACACTAGCCTGGGGTACTAAGCTACCCACACACTAGCCTGGGGTCCGAAGTTACCCACACACTAGCCTAGGGTCCTAAGTTACCCCACACACTAGCCTGGGGTCCTAAGTAACCCCATACACTAGCCTGGGGTCCGAAGTTACCCACACACTAGCCTGGGATCCTAAGTTACCCCACACACTAGCTTGGGGTCCGAAGTTACCCCATACACTAGCCTGGGGTACTACGTTACCGCCACACTAGCCTGAGTCCTAAGTTACTCCCACACTAGCCTGAGGTACTAAGCTACCCACACACTAGCCTGAGGTACTAAGTTACCTCCACATACTAGCTTGGGGTCTAGTTACCCACACACTAGCCTGGGGTCTCCGAAGTTACCCCCACACACTAGCCTGGGGTCGTAAGTTACTCCCACACTAGCCTGGGGTACTAAGTTACCCACACTAGCTTTGGGTCCTAAGATACCCACACACTAGCCTGGGGTCCTAAGTTACCCGCACACTAGCCTGGGGTCCTAAGTTACCCACACACTAGCCTGGGGTCAATATCTAACCCCCCCACCCCGAAGGGATCCTGAACTATCCCACACTAGCCTGGGGTCCCCAATCTAACCCTAAAGTCTTGGTGGAGGGGCTGGGCTCCCTGGGGGCACCTACCCCACGCCCCATCTTCAGCTGGGTCGCGCGCCCTCTGTGCCCTGGCGACGTCCCACGCCGGGCCAGCGGGCATTCTACGGACAAACTCACGTCCTGACTCACCCTTCATTTAAAGACTGACTGAGCATCGCGCCCGCCGGGTCCCCGCGACCGTACCCGCGCCCAATGCCCCGCTCGCGGTGCAGCTGCCTCACTGCCCCGCGGCAGCTCGTCCTATCGCCTGAGATCTATACAACATTATTCGCGCTACTGTCTCAATAAGTGATAATCATAATTAGTTCAGAATTATTCTCTAGAGTATTATTTATGAGCCCTTCTTCACGAGGGGCTGATGCTGTTCACAAGCCGCCTTGGGTACACTCGCCTCATCTTATAAACAGAACAGTTACAGTACAGTACAGTACAGTACAGTACAGTACAGTACAGTACTAGATGTAGTTTGCAGTATTTGTTTTACAATTTTCTCAGTATACACTAACATATAATATACTCGGGCTATCTTGCTTGGCCAGGACACAACCTACCATTTCCAGAGGTAAGAATTAACAAAAGTTATATTTTGCTAAAGACAACACGTTATATTATTACTGATAAGAGTTGGTGAGTCCCAAGACACCTTGAACACAGCACTTTATTAAGTGTAATATTTCAGTAAAGTTTATTAAGCATCAATAAAGTTCATTAGTACACGGCATCACAAGAGTCTGCAGCGGCGAGTCTTTCTTTTCTTGTTATAAACCTTATTAAGACCTACAAGTATAACCTCTCATCCTTCACTACCAGCCGTCCTCGCGCGCGCCGCTGTTGTGTCTCAGCAGCCGACGGGCACAAGGAGGCATCACTACAAAAAACTCTTAAGAGAAACACTGTCACTCATCATATTACTAAAAAAAGAAAAAACATCCAATATACTGTATAATACATATGTTTGTTTCTCAGCTCCTCCCGTCTGTCCCGCCTTCTACTCGCGTCATGACCACCGCACAGCCCAGGCTTACATCACTCACCTGGTGGCCTGCTGGTTGACTGGTGCAAGTCTCGACACGGATATGTGCATGATGCAGGGTCGAATGCTGAACGAGGAAAGCTGAACAAATATACGTGTATTTCGCATTATGATATGTATATATACATACGCTTATATACGTATAAACAATACATATGCCCGTTAAGGTAAAAGTACTATAACTATTTTATAACAACTTAAGACGCTAGAGGCAGTATTGCACTAAGGTCCCTAGCATCACCTCTCACACCACACACGCTACATCAACACCTCCTACTGTACAGCTACCATCACCAACATACTGTATATTTTATCAACAGGTTTCGGCGAGAGTGTATAAGGCTTTTCGTGTGTGTGTCGCCGCGGACTGGGGTGCAGTGTGTGTGTGTGTGTGTGTGTGTGTGTGTGTGTGTGTGGACTGGGGTGCAGTGTGTGTGTGTGTGTGTGTGTGTGTGTGTGTGTGTGTGTGTGTGTGTCGCCGCGGACTGGGGTGCAGTGTGTGTGTGTGTGTGTGTGTCGCCGCGGACTGGGGTGCAGTGTGTGTGTGTGTGTGTGTGTGTGTGTGTGTCGCCGCGGACTCGGGTGCAGTGTGTGTGTGTGTGTGTGTGTGTGTGTGTGTGTGTGACTGGGGTGCAGTGTGTGTGTGTGTGTGTGTGTGTGTGTGGGTGTGTCGCCGACGGGGTGGGGTGTGTGTGTGTGTGTGTGTGTGTCGCCGCGGACTGGTGCAGGGTGTGTGTGTGTGTCGCGGACTGGGGTGCAGGGTGTGTGTGTGTGTGTGGAGGTGTGTGTGTGTGTGTGTGTGTGTGTGTCGCCGCGGACTGGGGGTGTGTGTGTGTGCGTGTGTGTGTGTGTGTGTGTGTGTGTGTCGCACTGGGAGGGGGGAGGGGGGTGTGTCGCCACCGGCTGGGGTGTGTGTGTGTGTGTGTGTGTGTGTGTGTGTGTGTGTGTGTGTGTGTGTGTCACCGCAGGCTGGGCGTGTGCGTGTGTGTGTGTGTCGCCGCAGGCTGGGGCGTGTGTGTGTCGCCATGAGCTGGGGTGTGGGCGTGTGTATGTGTCGCCGCGGGCTAGGTGTGTGTGTGTGTGTGTGTGTGTGTCGCCGCGGGCTGGGGTGCGGGCGTGTGTGTGTGTGTACAGTATGTGTCGCCGCGGGTTGGATTGCGGGCGTATGTATGTGTCGCCGCGGGGTGGGGTGCGGGCGTGTCGCCGCGGGCTGGCGTGTATGTGTGTGTGCGTGTGTCGCTGTGGGCTGGGGTGCTGGCGTGTGTGTGTGTGTGTGTGTGTGTGTGTCGCCGCGGGCTGGGGTGCGGGCGTGGCGAGGTGGGGACACAGCGGGCGCGGCGGCCAGGTGGGCCACGGGCGGGGCTGGCCACTGCCTCCTGGTAGTGACTTGAAAGTCAGATGAGGCAGCAGACCCCAGCAATAGGTCAGCAGGGGCAGCAGACCCCAGCAATAGGTCAGTAAAGGCAGCGGTAAGTCAGCAGCCAGCCCCGGCCGAGCAGCACCTGGCCAGGCAAGAGAGAGAGAGAGAGAGAAAGAGATGGGCAAGCTGGCCGCGGCGGCCACAACACACCTCAGTAACAACTCCTTAACACTTTCTTCTTTAATCTCTTCCGATGTATCGTCCCTAGGGTGCCATACCTCCTGGTCATCGTTAATGGGCACGGCTAGATCCCCATCACCCCCCGAGAGTGCCCCCACCACACTCTCACGGTCTGTAGCACCGCACGTCACTGGCGGCGGGGGAGGTGGGCACGTGAACACACGCTCGTGCACGCGACACGCCCCAGGAGACGATGCCGTGGAGGCGCCGCAGCTGCAGCTGCCGTAGCAAGGTGAAGGTGGCGTGCCTAAGGGCGTGCCGATGGGCGGTGGTGGGACTCCTGTGGGAAAGGCTGGGGGGGACAGAGGCGATGCGTAGGCAGCAGTGGCAGCGGCGACCGCGGCCGCTGCAGAAGCGGAGGCGGGCGCCGTGAGCGGGTGCGGCACCACGACGCAGGAGTAGGGCTGGGTGGTTTGGGCGGTGAAGGGAATGGCGGGGGAGTGGCGGCCCCCGTCACACGTAGCTTCCAACACCCGCTGGCCGCCGCCCCTCATGCAGCCGCCGCCACAGGGTCGCGCCCCGCCGCCGCCACGCCACCAGCACATCCGGCCGCCCACAACTGTACATACGTGGCAGTGTCCCACGGTGGCGGCAGTCACAGTGTTGAGGCGTCGGTGAGTTGATGAAGGGAGCGACAAGTGGTGCAGTAGTGCGAGTGTCGTCCAGGGGTGGTCCGGGCAGCATGAGGGAGAGAGAGAGCGAGAGCGTGAGAGTTGGACACCTGGCGCTCCCATGGTGGCCGCATACACTACACCCACAACACTTACATACCTCACCTTTATCCTGATGCCGCTCTACACCCTGCTACACGGCCCACTCTCTTTCTTTCCCCGTGGCATGGTAGTGCAATGGTGTGCACCGCCCCTACACACACTGACACCAAGGAACAAAATGCTACGTGAACAAGAAACATTTAGAAGTAATAAGTATGAAGCAAACGGACCGTGACATGCAGGCAAGTCCGCTGCGCCAGAGCGGACACATTACTACGTTATGCAGCAGCAAACAAGAAGGATGGTGTCCGCACTAACACATCTTCCTTACCTTACTACTAGCACAGTGTTGTTTCTCACCAAGACACTACACTACACTACACTACTCGCACCAACATGCACCACCAGTTACGACTCAATATTTATGGCCAGAACTTGGTTAACAGGAGTGTCGACCTCCAGGGCGCTGGATAATGTAGCATGGTGAGGCAGGAGACAGGTGGGTGGAGGGACGCCCACCTGACATACATCTCACTGTTAAATACCACAAGAACATCAAGACCACACCAACATCTTCCGTTCTAGGATGACACACTAGACAGATTTGATTAACAGAACAAAAATAAGGTTCTAGAAGATTTTCCTCAATCAAGTTCAGGGCAAATTATAATTGTTGTCAACACCATAACGTAGTTAATTTGACAACTTTATGAATGAGTGTACGAAAATGGGTGGCGGTAGTTTGAGAATGGCCGCGTGCTGGGTGACAGACGTGCGGCGGGCCTTGACGTCACGTAAGGTAAACTGGTAAAAAAAAAAAAAAAGCTTAGTTTTCGCCTCACCAGCTCTTACATCTCTTTGTTTTAGGATTTTAACGCCATAACAGTAAAAGAAAACCCAATACTGTTGTAGAGTGAGCAGGAAGTACTTCGCCGCCATGAAGTATGAGAACACCCGACTGGACACAAATAGCGTGAGGGCAGACAGTGAGTATCAGTTGACGACGGGGTGTTGAAGGAACCACTTACAGGAACAGGACACCAAGGGCACCGACAAGATCATACGCGTGTTTCAATACCTCCTGGAAAATCGCCTTCAGTTTCATCATTAAGTCAAAGGAATTTCACCCGACGCATCCCTGAGACAAATACTAAAAAGGATGGCAGTTTAAGTCTTGCCATCCTTCAACACCAAGAAAACTGTTCCTCCCGACTCAATAGTGAAGAAGTTTATAGATTCCGTAAACATTTGTTCCAAGGTAATGTTGACGCTGGTAACGGGCCCAGCTGGTATAGGCTCTGCTCTCTCTCATACCTCACAACCTGTACTGATGGGGTCACGTGATGGCCTCCTAGTTCACGCCATGCTGTTGTTTAAGGCCATATCCATACAGACATCCATGCATACACAGATTCATAGGCACGCGGCAATAACTTACTTTACGCACACACACACACACACCTTTGACCCACAGGCAGGATCTCTTTAAGCCTTAATTTTCTCTCCCCTGACAGCTACTAAAACTTTCAATACCGGGACAAAAAAAAAATCCCTAAAAACCAAAAGTAAATAAAATAAATATTGGTATTATAAAACAAACTTTGTCAGGTAAGTTGTTGGGATGTATAAAACAGAGTGACGAGGTTGACTGAGTGACGAGGTTGACTGAGTGACGAGGTTGACTGAGTAATAAAACACACACCAAGATATACGATACATTTTACACAGAATACTTCTTAAAAAATATTTCAGTGTATAATAAAAAAAAAATTCACCTAATACGAAATACAAAGAAAAAAACACGGGAGATATTTATAAAACACAACATAAAACAAGGAAACATTCAATAAAACAACACACGGAGATATGTTTAATGAACAGGTGTAGTCTATGAGATCAATAACTTACAAGGGAAAATGGATGATAAACACACACACACACACACGCGTTCATATACATTTATGTACACATTTATTCATATACAGTACATACAAGTGCACACACGTTCATATACGTGCACACGCATTCATTACGTACAGCTACACAGACGTTCCTAAACGTGCACTTCTAAAACTAATACTTCATAAAAAAAATATATATAAAAATTAAGGATTTATAAAAAAATAATAATTGGGCGGTGTGGAGGAGCAACTCACCAGCAACCATCTATTCGCCTTATGGACGGTAACCAGGGACGGGGTCAACTCCGTTTTGTCAATTCCAATTCAAATAAAATTCCGACAAAATATAAATTTATCAAATTCAATTCAATACAATTATTTAATTTTCATATAAAAAATATTCCATAACAACCATTTTATTTCCATATAAGTTGACAACACACACAGAGCTCAATTATGGTATTTATATGATAATTACCACACGTCTGACAAGGCTGCCGCTAACTCACCTACCCGCCTTCACTTTACGGACATTCAACCAAACTGACTATTTCCAACCGTATTTCGACTCAGTTTTTATATTAAGTCATTTTCTAATATTTTTCATGTTTGATAAGTTGACCTATATAAGACCGAATTTGGTCGGCAAAATATTAAATGTGTCATACTAGATTCCCACATTAAACAATGCTCCTTGTTATTTCAAAACATTCTAGTGTGAATACAATTTGTTTCACACATTACTGTAGACATGTTGAACAAATTTTGAAAAAAAAATATTAACAATACGTTGGCCACATCTAAAAAACACATTTTATTATTTTGATAAAACATTAATTCACATCAATTCCAATTCAATTCATAATTGACCCCATCCATGATTGTAATGATCGGTTAAGATACAAAACTGAACAGATCTTAGTTGATAGGTCAGGTATTTATCGTGTATTTATCCCAATATTGTTTCTTCTCACTTTCTGGGTCAAACCACTTAAGACCAATCATTTGTGAGGGCAATACACTGTCTCTTAACGTGTATCCATTCAAGTCAAAACTAAAGAGATGTTCTTGTGCAATCAGCCAGGAAGATTGGAAAAAACTACCTTGTTTATCTAAGGACGCAAACAAAGAATCCTACAAAACATTATTTTTCTCTGTTGACTTCTCTACTCTTGCTCCTGATAACCTTTGGAACTCGGTAGTCTACTGTAAGCACAGATCACAATCATAGTGCCTCATATACTGTATAGTGGAGATGTAATAAGTCCCTGAACATCGCTCGTTGCCACACTACAGGAGAATACAGTAGGATCCAATCCCACACAACTGCCATAGCACAATAAGAGATGCCAGTGAATGTAAACAAGGGGCTATACAAGCACCATACTTCTTGTTACTACCACAGAGTGAATGTGATAAAGGTCCATGAGTATGGTTGTCCACTGCCATAGAGAGGACCATAAATGTCAATGACGAATCCATGATGATGCAAAAATGTTATGAAGTCAAAAGATCATTGAAAACCCTAAGTGGTTCATCGAAATACAACCGGATCACCTCGAATCAGACCTGAGCACCTCATAATCCTGCAAGGTTACCTCAAAGTAACCTCATAATCCTGCAAGGTTACCTCAAAGTAACCTCATAATCCTGCAAGGTTACCTCAAAGTAACCTCATAATCCTGCAAGGTTACCTCAAAGTAACCTCATAATCCTGCAAGGTTACCTCAAAGTAACCTCATAATCCTGCAAGGTTACCTCAAAGTAACCTCATAATCCTGCAAGGTTACCTCAAAGTTCAAGAAAGTTAACTTCAAAACCAGATAACAAGAGCACTGCAAATTAATGACCTTACAATCAGACAAAATTATCTTAAAACCCTAAAATGATTCCTCAAACTCTGACGACTGTACCTTAAAGGCAAAACAAGTCCCCCACAACCAGACAAAAGTCCATCGAAACAAAACAAAAACTTACCTTGGACACATCACAGGCGTAGAACTGGATTACCAAAACGGATACCACAGGATGCAAGAAGGGTACCAAGTCATAACAGATGGGAGGGTCCAGGAAAAAAAAAAGATGCAGACATGGATACCAATAAAACATACATCCGATGAGTTACAACAAGATGCTAATGAAGACAAATAGAAGAACTCATGCAGCTATTGGAAGGAACACTCACCAAATCAGCCATGTTGAAGACCCAGAGGTGTTGCTATAGGTGGGACTACTACTGCAGAAGATGAAGGTTGTCACAGAGGAAGTGCCACGCCCTGCAAGGAAGAGAAAACACCAGTTATATCATAGAACACTTATAATCGTATAGAAGAATTATGTAGTACTCCAAATGGTTCTGAAATATACAATTATAAGACCTTTTTACAACTATATATGACACTTTGTAACATGCCAGTACTGTATGTTGGGGAATAATGTGTTATGGTACATATACACTGTACACTCGCCCCAAGAAGTACCTTTACGGAAGCATCTGATGAATGTAAAAAATAAACACCGCGACTCCTGTTGTTTCGGTGGGGCTGTCAAGATCCTTCCTCTGTCGTGTTAGATGGTCTTATACAAAATCGTCCAACCACACGTACAGTCCCCTTCACTACTGCGTTTACAGGGGCTCGTCAGGTTTTTGTGCACATCAATTCACCACACACACACACACACACACACATAATTAAAACTCCTGCAGATCTACAGATTCTCGCCGCTGCCACCAAGTCAACAACCCCCTTACACCTTCAGTGATGACTCTTTAAGTACTGTACTATCTACTAAACAAGGCTATCATTTGTCCTCCTGACCCTTAAGTTACAGCTGATATACAAGACCCTTTGAGTGCTGAGTGTGTTCCCCGACGGTAAGATGAGTACCTCCTATAGCGGGGTGGGTGGAATTTGTGTAAACTTCCTCCCTCAAACACCAGCACGACTCGTAAGTGGAACCCACACATGCAGTCGCGCCTGGAATTCTCAATTAACCTGCAGCAATGACAATAATGAACCTCCTCCTTCTCTCCCTCCCCTCCTCACAATTTCCACCCGCCCTCACCCCTCCCTACCCCCCCACCTTATTACCTTCCCTTGCACCTCCTCCAACCCATTCCTCGCTCCCTCCTCTTACCTTCCCTTCCATCTCTCTTTCTAATGCCTTCCTCCCTGCCTCTCCCTCTCACTATCTCCTTCACCGTTCCATCTCTTTCATCTCTCGATTTCCCACGTCTCGTTTCCCTGTTTTCTCCACTTCAGGTTTTGTAGTGGGTGTGTGGGTGGAGGGAAGAGTGGTATATATGGGTGTGTGGGTGGAGTGAAGAGCAGCGCTGCCGTTTGACGGAAATTCGTCTGCTAGACGGTAAAAAAAATGAAATTCGATGACGTAGTCGGTAGACCGTGACGTCACTGTACTGGCCGCGGTGGCCCGTCGGAAAAATACCGAAATTGTTAATTAGGCCTACTGGGGGGTCAAATGAAGAATAAAAATGATATAGTATAATTATGAAGGTATTTTATTTGATTTCCTTCATTTTATAATTGATAGTTTAGCAATACTGCTTCATGATGAGTTGGCACGAGAGGATGACGTCTACTAGGAACACAAAGACAGTCATTTCGTCCTGTTCCAAGTTTGAGCTCCAGGGGTGAATCCAGGAATATCAAAAGGAGGGGAGGGTCCAAGAAGTTTTGGGTAGGGGAACCTGGCCAACAAAGCGAGCCCATCAATCTGGGGGATAGCTGAAAGCCCCCCCCCCGATGTTTTTTTAATCTGACCAATATCATGGGCATTTTGAGGACATTTGAAGCCATGTGCACTTGATGTTAGGAGATATTCTGAAGCCAATGGTAATTAATTTTTACTATACAAAAATGCCTGAGTACAATACTGCATTAAGGAAAAGTATTGGAGTTTTCTGATGAATGAAAAAGGGGGGGGGGGGGTCCCCCGCTGGATCCGCCTTAAGTTCAGCGCCTTTCATATGACTTTCACTAAGAGTCTTTGTCAACAGCATCTACACGCCGCAATACATCGACTTTCGGCGAGTCCTTTATTGTTAATTCTTTATTTGTTGGTATTTTATCAGACATTTTAAAATTATATATATTATAATAGTTATCCTTTTTAACAGTGCATTTTCTATGATATTCACCCGCGGTATCACTTCAGATTCTACTTCTTGAACTCTTTTATCTCTTTTATTCAATATAATATAATACTCTCCACCCGATATATAATAGTAAAAGGTAATGAATTGTTACCGATATCCTATACTGTCTGTGTATTACATTTAACAAAGAAAAAGTTTTTATGACGTCATGATTTCGTAGCCAGTCACAACGCGAGGAAAATAACCAATCAGAGCGTTCGGTAAAACACAGTCGAAATTATGGCAGGCCTGGTGAAGAGTGGCAGATGTGGGCGTGTGGGCGTGTGTGGGCGTGTGGGTGTGGAGGGAAGAGTGGTAGATGTAATTGAGCGGGTGGGATGAAACAGAGGCAGATGTGGGTATGTGTGACAGAATACAGGTATATGTGGGCGGGACACCTGTCACTCACCGTCCACTTACCTGTCACTCACCGCCCACTTACCTGTCACTCACCGCCTTCACACTGATCATCCGTTAACCCTCATCATCCATTTACGTCACACCGACTCCACTACCAAAACACCTGAATCATCCATCTATATCATCCTTCCGGCAACTAACACACCTGTCAACCAACCTCCATCAACCAACACACCTGTCAACCACACCTCCATCACACCTAACCACCTCCCACACCAACCTCCATCAACCAACACACCTGTCAACCAACCTCCATCAACCAACATACCTGCCAACCACACCTCCATCAACCAACACACCTGTCAACTAACCTCCGTCAACCAACATACCTGCCAACCACACTCCATCAACCAACACACCTGCCAACCACACCTCCATCAACCAACACACCTGTCAACCACACCTCCATCAACCAACACACCTGTCAACCACACCTCCATCAACCAACACACCTGTCAACCACACCTCCATCAACCAACACACCTGTCAACCAACCTCCATCAACCAACACACCTGTCAACCAACCTCCATCAACCAACACACCTGTCAACCACACCTCCATCAATCTCGCTCTTCATCAACCTCCCCCCCCATAACCAAAATAATCTCACTCAACCACAAAACAACAACAACTCATAAAATAAAACAGCATTAACAAACAACAACAGCATTAAGTGAGGGAGAGAGAGTGGGAGGGTCGGGCCGGGTTACATGTGAGTGGTGGAGGGAGTCTATGGTTGGTGGTGGGGACGGTGGTAGTGGTGGTGGTAGATGTGGCGATTGTGGTGGTGGGAGATGTGGTAGAAGTGGTGATTGTTTTGGTGGTGGTGATACGTGGTTGTGGTAAGTTGTGGTAGGGGTGTCAGAGTTGGCAAAGATGCTCACCTTTGGCAGGGAGCCATAGGGAGAAATGGACTAGGCAAGTGTAATCCTCACGGCCTACTCCTCCTCAGCAAGTGTGCAGCACACAACCTCACTAGCACCAATACCTTGTTTAAGCAGGCCGACAAGTTCAAGGGTTCGTGGCAACATCCACGATCCAAACACTGGCATCTCATTGACTACATCATTGTCAGAGAAAGAGATCGCCGAGATGTCCTTATCACCCGAGCCATGTGTGGCTCAGACCACTGTGACACTGATCGCCGGCTGGTCAGAATCCAAGCTATTACGTCACGTCGCCCCAAGTCAGCGAAGGCAGCAAGCCTTCAGAAGAGGTTTTAACACAAAGCATCTGGAGTATCCAGCAGTAGCACATGCTTTCAGAGAGCAGCTCGAACATGGGCTGATAAACAACCTGACAACAAACAACCCAAATCCCAGTGCCGAATGGGATATTCTCGACACTGTCATGACAAAAACCTGCAGAGAGACCCTCGGCAAGATCGAATGAATACACCAGGACTGGTTTGATGAAAATGACCCGGCAATCAATGTAATCATCGATGATAAACGTGCTGCTTTAACTGAATGGAAGAACAACCCTCAGTCTCGGACAAAAGCTGATACCTTCTGCAAGAAAAAAGCGGCGGCCCAGTGCTAACTTCGCAATCTAAAGAAGGACTGGTTTAAAAATAAAGCATGTGAAACACAAAAATTTGCAGATCAGCACAAGATGCGCAAATTTTTCAACTCCACTAAAACATTTTATGGGTCAATCACTCGTGGTGCAGCCCCCCTCCACTCATCCAACGGTAACTTCCTAATTAAAGACGATGAAGGCATCCTTCAGCACTGGAAAGAGCACTACCACTCACTGCTCAACCGAAACACCGATGTAAATGTCCTGACTACCCAGCAGGTCCCTCAGCATCCAGAGCTGACCCACCTCAGCTATCCTCCATCCCTGGATGAGATAGCTACTGTTATCAAACATATGAAAAATAACGAAGCCTCAGGGCCTGATGGAATCCCAGCCGAGGTGAATAAAGTAGGAGGACCTCTGCTTACCAGCCGTCTCCACTCTTTCCTGGAGAATATATGGGAAAAGGAGGAAATCCCCCAAGCTCTTAAAGACGCCTCCATCGTCAATATTTATAAGAACAAGGGAGACCAGTCAGACTGTGGCCACTACCGCGGGATCTCGCTACTGTCCATAGCTGGAGATAAAGATTATCGTCCGAGTCCTCCGAAACAGACTTCTCCCCGAGGCGGAAAACTTCCTCCCAGAATCTCAATGTGGCTTTAGACAATCACCTGGCACCACTGACATGATTTTTGCTGCCCGCCAGGTACAGGAGAAGTGCAGAGAACAGCGTCGTGACCTGTACATGGCTTACATTGGCCTAACCAAGGCCTTCGACTCGGTCAACAGGGAAGCCCTCTGGTGGATCCTCAGCCATTTTGGCTGTCCACCAAAATTCATAGCCATTGTGAGGCAACTCTATGATGGCATGAACGGCAGTGTCCTGCACAATGGCACCCAGTCTGCGTTCTTCCCCATTCAAATGGGGGTTAAACAAGGATGTGTGCTGGCACCAGCTTTCTTTTCCATTTTCTTGGCTGCCTTCCTTACTCGTGCCCGTGCCAATTTAGCCGGCGGGGTGGACATCGAGTACCCGATGAAGGATCTTTTCAACACAAGACAACTCCAGGTAGGAACAAAGGTGTCGGCAGCTTCCATTACTGAACTTTAGTATGCAGACGACCTCACCCTTGTCGCTCACACTGAACGCGACCTACAGGAGATCCTGAACGCCT